CAGGGATAGAAAGAAAGAAAGAAAGAAAGAAAGAAAGAAAGAAAGAAAGAAAGAAAGAAAGAAAGAAAGAAAGAAAGAAAGAAAGAAAGATCTAACCCAGATTTGGGGTTAGAAAAATATTTAACCCAGGTGTAAAAAGAAATGGATGCTGTGTTTATTTTTCTTTCTTTTTTTTAAAATAGATTTTTATTATATTTTCCACAAATACAAATCTCATATACGGTTTTTGACAATGGTTCGGCGTCGACCAATATACATTTTATATATCTTAATATATACATTTTCTTTCTATAAATCCACAGTATCTATTGTATCTATCTATAGTGACATTTATCTTATATACCTTATAGTCTATATATCTAGCCTATTATTTTCTTAAGGTCTCTTGTAATAATTACATTTTCTATTTTCTTATTATTTTATATCTGTCTTCTGACCATTCATACCATTTATGGCATACGTTGTAATAATCGGAGTTCTCTCTCTCCTTCATTTCAAATGTGAGCATATCCATTTCCGCACATTCAAAGATTTTATTTATGACTACATCTTCTGGGGGGATGCTGCGTTTATTTTTCAGTTGTATAGAATTTCTGGCAAATCAATTGAAGGTTGTTGGGGTTGTTGTTGTTTTTTGCCTCATCTTGAAATCTGACTGATTTGTGCAATTTAGAAAACATTTCACCCGCCGTTCAATTTCCTTTCTCTCTGCTTTGCAATATTCCAGCTTCCTTTTCAACATTTTTTTAAAAAATAAAATAATTCAAACTCGGTGCAATTGTTGGACAAACCCAACAGCCTCCTTAAAACACCTTGCAAAGCCATCCGCCACAATAAAACAGGAATATTAAAAAAAACCCCGATCATTGCACAATTTATTCTGGAGCGAGTAATAAGGCATATAAACCTGCCTTCCAGAATTCAGTTGCGCTAATTCACGGCTATATCATTCCATCTTTTTATCCATGATTTCTTCATGCTGGTGGTTTTAATGGGCTTTAGTGGACTGAGCTGGTGTTTTTGTCATTAAAATGCTTGCGTTGGTTGAGTTTCTATACGATGGGATATATAAATGTAGATTTGGACCAGGGTTAGGCACACTTCAAAATGTGGTTTGAAAGAGGGAGATGCTCGTTGGGCTAAAGTTTTATGAAAAGAAGAAAACTTATTTTTTTTTCTTTTTGGAGGTTAGGCTGAGAGAACAGGAAGTGGATTCCCAACAACAATATCTTTTTGTGCCTTTAGGGTGACTCATCCTTGCTCTTTCTTGCCACAGCTCTGCCGGTGGCCCGCCCGTTTGCAATATTTCTTCCAAAATTAGGAAAGATGTGAGCAGAGTCTCCTGGCTTCCTTTAAAAAGGCTGTGGAGGCTTTTTTGTGAGTTCTGCCTCACAAAGTGTTCTGACCGAGGCTTCCCGAGATCACGAAGCCGACTCCTCGTCCCGATAAAACCCCTTTTGTTTAGGTTAAAGGGAATTCCTCTCCAGCAAAGTCCCAGAAAACAGTCTTTCCAGAGATTGCACAACTACAGACCTTTATCAGGCTGGGAGAGTTGCCAGGCTGATATCTTCCAAACGCCACGCTGTAGCAGCAATTACTTGGCAAGAAGTCAGGAATAGATCTTCACCCCAATAAATTGAACTAATTGTCTCCTGCAAAACCACACTCCCCTTTCACTCCTCTTTATTCCCTCTGGGAGGGACCATTCACCTGAGCCTTTACTCCCAAGTTGACTCTTGTTCCTTAACTGTTTCCTTCTCCTGGCAGCTCTGTGCATGCACACCCTGGGAACAGGCTCCAGCTGTTCTTCTGCCCCACTGATCTCTGATTCGGAAGACAGCTGATAACTGTCGGACGGCCCCGGCCCCATCTCTGCCTCCGACACAGAGCCCTCGTCCGAGCCTTCCTCAGCCTCCAAGACTGGCCCCTGTTCCTCTCCAACTTCCTCACTGTCCGAGTCTGCCACCAGCTCTGCAATTTAAAATTTAGGAAAAGTCAAAAGAGTTCAAAGTGACTTCAGGTCTTTCCCTTTGCAACGAGAATTGATTTGCAAACGGAGGACGGGGTATTCTAGACAATCCTCGACTTACAACCATGATTGAGCCTCACATTTTCTATTGCTCAAGGAGGCAGTTGTTAAGCAAGCTTTGCCCCGTGTGACGGCTTTTCTTGCCACCGTTCTTAAGTAAATCCATGCAATTAAGTTAGTCACCCGGTTGTTAAGTGAATCTGGCTTCCCCATTGATTTGGTTTTCCAGAAGGTTGCAAAAGAGGATCCAGGATGCTGCAGTCATCATAAATACGAGGCGGTTTGCCAAGCCTCTGAATTTTTGACATGGGGAACCGCAATGGTTGTAAGTGTGAAACCACATAAGTCTTTTTTTCTTTTCTTCAGTTGCCTTGTCACTTCAAATGGTGACTGTATGAACTGCTGTAACTTGAGTATTTCTTCATTTTCTGCCTTTATACTTTTAACAAATGTATATGCAGTATATTATCGGTTTTCATCCCCGCTGGGGTCAGAATCCATCATTGTTTTTTCATTTTGGGACATCTTTTGAAAGCTGCCTGGGGGGGAATCGGAGTTATATCGGCAACGTCCAACCACCATCCTTGTCCTCCCTGATTCTTGTGGCTGCAGGAGGAACGATGAGGTGACCCACATCAAAATCCAAAACACGGGCGATTATTACGACCTCTACGGAGGGGAGAAATTTGCCACCTTGGCGGAGCTGGTCCAGTACTACACCGAGCAGGAAGGGCTCCTCCGCGAGAAGAACAGCAATACCATTGAGTTACGATTCCCACTCAATTGCCAGGATCCCACCTCAGAAAGGTAAGTTGGAGGCGGGTGGGTGGGTGAATCCAGCCAACCTACCTTCTAGAGGCCAGAGTAGGAAATGCACCATTCTGGGACTGTTCTCATTGATTTTTGACATGTAAACCCTATACAAAACAGTACCACAGGTGAGATAATGTGCAAATTTTGTTCCTCAGTGGCAAATCGAGAAAAGTAGCAGGGAGAAGGGTGAGAAGGGGTCCCTGGGGTTTAAGCCCCATGCACTTAAAGAGGTAATATCTCCAAACAGGACCAGGGTACCTTCTTCCATATGTGGTGGCTATGCCCGGAAGCTCAAAAATACTGGGTCAAAATACAGAGCTGGCTGTAAGAAATAGTGAAATGTCAGATCAGAGTTTAAACCCGAATTGTTCCTTTCAGGAATAATAATGGGGAAGTGTATTAAAAAGACCAAATGTATGACATTACACACAACGAAGCGGTGAGGATTGCATTCGCCCAATGTTGGAAGCGGGATTGTATGCCACCGGAGGAATTAGAAAAACCAAAAGATATTAGAAGGGGCTGAAATGGACAAACTCACCCTACAGCTAAATGAGAAAAGAAGGATCAGAGTTTTATGAGGTCTGGGACAATTGGTACGAATGGTTGAATAAAAAGAATAAGAATAATAGAGATAAGAAAAACACAGACAAATGTATGTAAATGAATAGAAACACAGTATATAGAGATTGTATATGTAATAATGATGCAACAGCGGTGTTAAAGATGAGAATGAGGTTTGTAAAAATGGAAAAGTATAATAAAAATTAATAATAAAAATTAATGATAATAAAAATTAACAATAATAAAAGTAAATAATAACAACAATAATAACAATTGACCATAATAACAATTAACAATAACAATAATAGTAATAACAATTATGATGACAATGATGATAGTAGTAGCAGCAGCAGTAGTAGATAATATCTCTACATTGAGTGGGGAGTGGTGGCAAAGGGGAGTTGGATCCTTCCCATTGAAAAGCCAGCCTGCCTTTTTTCAGATGGTATCATGGCCACCTGACCGGCAAGGAAGCCGAAAAGCTCCTCACCGACAAAGCCAAACCCGGCAGCTTTTTGGTCCGCAGCAGTCAAAGCAAACCGGGCGACTTCGTCTTGTCCGTTTTGACGAACGAGGGTAAAGCCGACACGGGAGACCGGAAACCCCGCGTGACCCACATCATGATCCGTTATCAGGTCAGGATCTGCAGCCTTCCCGCTTTCTTTCAATCTGCCTCTTGGGCGGTTGTAAAAGGATAGAACGGGAGGGACTTTGGAGGTCATCTAGAGGCGGTCCTTGATGTAGGGTTATAATAGGGACTGGAACCCCTTTTGTTAAATAGTGTGGTTCAGAGGTGGTCTTCAGCAGGTTCTGACTGGTTAGGAGGGAATGGAGATTTTGCAGCATCCTTCCCCCTGCCACGCCCACCAAGCCATACCCACAGAACCAACCAGTAGTAAAAAAAATTGCATTTTCTACCATGGCCGTTAAGCAAGACATTGGGTGACTGCAGTGTCACTTTCCCTGATTTTTTTTGTGACACAAACACACCCCGTTGATTTCACTTCTCGGAAGCTGGGGTCAACCCTGAAGCTGACCTGACCGAGGCCATTTTGAGGCTTCAGTGTTGCCACACTGGATCTGAGGGATAGGGAGGCGGGGAGTAGAGATCGCTGGGGTTTCGTAGCCAAAACAAGATGCTTTCTCCTGGAACCAAGGTCATTCCCACAGGGGGCCGGAGAGAGGAGGAGCGAAGTTACTAGGCAACCGGCGGCACCTTGATTGGGCCATGTGACTGATTGATTGGGGAAGGGAATAAACGTTTACTTTTAATGAGGTAAAAACCGCGGGAAACTTCAGAGTTGGTTTTCAGCAGCCTGTGCCTAGTCTAAGGGCTAGCGCTATTCCTGGTTCTCCTTTGGCAGCTGGATGGGAAGTATGACGTGGGCGGAGGAGAGCGATTCGACACCTTGGCGGACTTGGTGGAGCATTACAAGAAGAACCCCATGGTGGAGAAGTCAGGGGTCGTGGTACACCTGAAACAGGTACGTCGGTCACCTGTGCCGAGCCTTTAACTGGGGGAAAGAGACGGGGGGGAGGTCCCTCTCTCCTTCAAACATCTAGAGAATATTCTGCCTTCGACAGCCTTTCAACGCCACCCGGATCATCGCGGCCAACATCGAGAACCGAGTCAAAGAGCTGAACAAAATGGCCGACCAAAGCGAGAAGGCGAAGCAAGGATTCTGGGAGGAATTTGAGGTAAATGGGGGAAAAAGGGGGCCCAATCAAATCTCCTTTTGTTCCTTCCAGCCTGGGGAGAAGATTTCCCAGCATTCCTAGCATGAGATGTGGGGAATTCTGGGAATTTTCATCTGGGTCAGATATGGAAAGTTGGGGTGGGATTTTTTTCCTCATCATCCTGGCTTAGGCCAGCCGTCGCTGGGGATAATGGGGTTTGTTTTAAAGCCCAACGGAAGATGAAAATAGTGATGCCTTTCCAACTTCTTGGTCCCCGCAGATGTTACAACAACAGGAGTGCAAATTTCTCTATCCCAGGAAGGAAGGGCAGCGAGTCGAGAACAAGGCGAAAAATCGCTACAAAAATATCCTTCCGTGTAAGAATTCTGAAATATCCTTAAAGCAGGAAATGATGGCAGAAAATAGAATGATTGATGGTGGCTTTTTCCCCCTCCTTCTTGCACGCTTCCTACTTTTAAGCAATTATCAGAAATTCACCCTGAGTTTCGAACTCAGGGCCCAAAAGAGGTTAGCAGGTTGGCATGGCAGCCTTCTTTCACCCAGTTTGAGCCCGGCGTGCCTCCCTTGCAGGGTTGTTGTGCAGAGAAGCAGGGAGCTGTTAAGGGTTTTTAAAAAAGAGAGGATCATTGAACCCATGCAGTATATAAATCTGGGCAGTAAATTAAAATATTTTCCAAGATGGAGGCTCATTTTTTTCTCTCGCAGTTATGCTGTTCCACTCCCTTTGCAGTTGACACAACCCGAGTGGCTCTCTGGAACGCCGATCCCAGAGTGCCGAGTTCCGATTACATCAATGCCAATTATATTAAGGTGAGTGGCAGGCAATTGGGAGTAGATCTAAGACGATTCATTGGGGACACGTTTCCCAACGTTGCAGAACAACTTATTATTTTTCACATTTTTGTGCACGTGAAGAGAAGGCTGGGGCCCTGTTGAGATTGAGATTACAGTTTTACATAGATATAATTATAATTGAATATGATGGATAATACAACAGATATAAAACAAATAGCATAGAAGATAATATAAATGTATATACTGGGTAAGTTAATTGTATAAATGTATAGAATTCTTTATTGGCTAAGTGTGATTGGACACACACGGAATTTGTTTTGGTGCAAATGCTCTCAGTGTACATAAAATGAAAGCTATACTCGTCAAGAGTCAAGAATCTTAAGATAGAACACTTAATAATAGTCCAAGCGTACAATAAGCAATCCAATCATACTAGGAAACAGTCAATAAAAATAGTAAGGATACAAGCGACAAGGTTACAGTCATACAAGTGGGAGGAGAGGGGTGATAAGGAGTGATGGGAAGATTAATTGTAGTGCAAGACTTCGTCAAGAGTCAAAAATCATAAAGTACGACACTTAATAATAGTCATAGGGCACAATAAGCAATCAAATCAGACTAGTAAAAAGTCAATATAAATCATAATGATACAAGCAACAAAGTTACAGTCATACAGTCATATAAGTGGGAGGGGAAGGGTGATAAGGAGTAATGAGAAGATTAATAGTAGTGCAGACTTTGTAAATAGTTGGACAGTGTTGAGGGAATTATTTGTTTAGCAGAGTGATGGCGTTCGGGGAAAAACTGTCCTTGTGTCTAGTTGTTCTGGTGTGAAGTGCTCTACCGTGTTGTTTTGAGGGAAGGAGTTGAAACAGTTTATGTCCATGATGTGAGGGGTCTGTAGATATTTTCCCAGCCCTCTTTTTGACTCATGCAGGATACAGGTCCTCCATGGAAGGCAGGTTGGTAGCAACTGCTATTTTCCGCAGTCCTAATTCCTCTCCGGAGTCTGTGTCTGTCCTGTTGGGTTGCCGAACCAAACCAGACAGTCACAGAGGTGCAGAGGACAGACTCCATCATTCCTCTGTAGAACTGGATCAGCAGTATATGTATATAAGAAGTGCATCGTATACTTTAGTACGCAGGGCAGAAATGACGATCACACGGTGTCCAATATTAATGTGTAACCAATAAAAAAAGAACGAATGAACGAAAATAAATGCAGCATGTTAAAAACAAATGAAAATAAATGCAGCTCGTTGTGAAAATATTTGGCCTACATGGGGCGGGATACTTCCAACTGCAGTTTAAATCCAATCAGCTCATTTAAAAAAAAAAGCAGACAGTCTAATGAGCTCTAATGAAGGAGCCTATAATGCGCTGAACGCTTCAGTGGCTGGTAGAATTTAGTTCAGCTGAGCTTTCCAGCACGGCTCCAACCCTGGAGGCTTTTCAGAAAAGACCAGACAATCCTTCGTCTAAAATGGCCTAGGGTCTCCTGCTTGAGGGGGTGGGGTGGGGTTGGACTAGAGGACCTCTGGGGTCTCTTCCAGCTCTGTTATTCAATCCATTTGTGAAGACCTCCAGAGATGAAATGACAGAAAAAGAAATACAGATGTAAAATAATAATAATAATAATTAAAGCGTTAGTTGGAGGTTCATCTCCTAAATGGCAAATTAAAGCTAGATGAGAACAATAATCTCGGTTGCAGGAATTGGGTCTGTCTAGTTTAACCAAAAGAAGGATTAGGGGTGACATGATAGCCGTCTTCCGGTATTGGAGGGGCTGCCACAAAGAAGAGGGGGTCAAATTATTCTCCAAAGCATCGGAAGATAAGACAAGAAACAATGGATGGAAACTAAGCAAGGAGAGGAGCCACCTGTTCTCCCTTAATTCTCTCCTCCCTTCTCTCCCTTGTTCCAGAACACTCTCGAAGACGGCTGCAGCGCCGAACACTGTAAAGTCTACATCGCCACCCAGGGCTGCCTCCAAAGCACCGTCAACGACTTCTGGACCATGATCTACCAGGAAAACACCCACATCATCGTCATGACCACCAAGGAAGTCGAGCGAGGCAGGGTGAGCCCTTCCTGGGTCTCTTCCCAGGGGTGGGATTCAAAAACTTTTTTTTAATACCGGTTCTGTGGGTGTGACTTTGTAGGTGTGGCAGGGGAAGGGTACTGCAAACTCCCATTCCTTCCCCCACCCCACTAACCTGCTTTCCAGTTCCGTTCTCCTGTGCAGGGCAACCAAAGAAGACCCAGCCGATCAGCTGGGACTCAATGGGAGGCGGAGAAGAGATGGGGTTGGCGGGGCCAGTCAGAGGTGGGATTGGCCGGTTCTCTGAACTACTCAAAATTTCCGCTACTGGTTCTCCAGAACTGGTCAGAACCAGCTGAATACCACCTCTGGCCCTTCCCTGTCACATCAAAAGCCTGTGATGTCATTTGCGTGTCCGTCTCTAACTGGCTGGATTCCCAGGATGCGCTAAACCCTCCTTTACAAGCCATCTTCCCACCACACCTTTAAAAAAAAAACCCACTGTGAAACTGCTTTTGGGGTTCACCAAACTGAGTTTCTCGTTCTCTCTCTCTCCCTCCCTCCCTCCTTCCCTCCCTCCCTCTCCCTCTCTGCTTTCTCTTGCAGAACAAGTGTTTTCGCTACTGGCCGGATCAAAACTGCACCAAGGAATTCGGCCCCATCGGCGTGCAGAATATCGGGGAGCGAGAGTGTCAGGGTTACTACATCCGGGAGTTACAGATCGCACGGATAGACAGGGTAGATTGTGGGGGGGGGGTGTTCTTCTGTTTTGAAATGCAGCCGTGTTTCTAGTCCTCTTGGTGCCCTATAAAGAGCCTTTGTGGAAATCGATCGATCCTCTAGATCAGTGGTCGCCAATCGGTAGGCCGGGGGACCACTGGTGGTCTGCGAGAAAATGTTGGTGGTCCTCAGAGAAATGTCGTCCCCCCCCCCCCAAAAGCAATCAATCCAGGCTGTGTGGGAACACAAGGTTGCGCCACCCACATGGCCCGCCCACCCTCTGGCTCCCACCCTTAAGCCACGCACAAACCTTACCTTGAGTAGAGCCACGCGAGTTGGAACTGGAAGGTAAGACCAACGGCGGGGGAGAGAAATCCGTCCCAGGGTGGCACGCTGACGTTGGTGGGAAAGTCGGTCCCATATTCCAGAGCTGCAGGAGTCACAGGACTGGCCCTTTGGTCATCCTGGAGTAGCAGCTCCTCTAGTCTACAGCAGGCCGGTGCACCCGGGTGGAGGAGCAGCTGCTCCGGGATGACCAAAGGGCCAGTCCTGTGACTCCTGCAGCTCTGGAATATGGGACCGACTTTCCCACCAAGGTTAGCAAGCCACTGTCAGACAAAATTCATATTAGTGGTCCACAGGGTTTAAAATTATGAGTTTGGTGGTCCCTGAGGTCCAAAAGGTTGGCGACCCCTGCTCTAGATCAGGGGGTCTCCAACCTTGGCAACTTTAAGCCTGGTGGACTTCAACTCCCAGAATTCCCCAGCCAGCTTTGCTGGGAGTTGTAGTCCTCCAGCCTTAAAAGTGGCCAAGGTTGGAGACTCCCCCATCTAGGTAGCAAACGTGTGTGTGTGTGTGTTAATTGGTCATTTCAACACATTGCCTTAAATTTGTGGGCCATCGTAAAAAGCTGCAGAATAACCAAGAGGGGATTTTATTTCAGATAATTCATGTGCTTGCAGTTTCAAATGTGGGTCTCCGATATGCAATTTTATTTTTTCCTTCTCAGCATGTTTTTCTTGGGTAGTTTCTCTGTCCCTTTTGTCGTGTTTTCCAGTCGTCTCTCCCTGCCCCAGTCGTCTCTCCCTGCCCCAGTCGTCTTATTCTGACAACCTCTTTCACCATTTCATCCCTCTGACATGTGGTTGTGCCAGCCCCATTTCCTTCAGTGGTTTCACATGACTCACACCCTTTCAGGGGTCTTTCTCTCCGCTGTCGTATTTTCTGGTTGCAAACACCAAGTGACTCAGAGGTTCCAGGAAAGAAGCACGCGACCGCAGGGCCGGGGGTTATGTTATTTCCATCGCGTGGGCAGCATGCAAATATTTACCTATTTCTGTTTATGTTAATCCTCAGTGACTTGCTTTGCCGGTCATCGCACTTCACAATTCCCCTCACCAACTTCTCCCAAATCGGAGAAGTCTCCGTCACGGTGATGTGTAACTATTTCTACCTGATTTAGTGGCCAAAAAGTCTAATGCAATCCTAAATTGCATTAACAAAGGAACACAATCAAGATCAAGTGAGGTACTAATACCACTCTGTAAAGCCTTAGTAAGGCTACACCTAGAGTACTGTGTCCAGTTTTGGTCACCACACTGTAAAAAAGAGGTTGAGACTCTAGAAAAAGTGCAGAGAAGAGCAACCAGGATGATGAGGGGACTGGAGGCTAAAACATACGATGAACGGTTGCAGGAACTGGGCCTGGCTGGTCTAGGGAAGAGAAGGATCAGGGGAGACAGGAGAGCAGTCTTCCAATATTGGAAGGGAGAAGGAGAGAAAGAAAAGGAAAGAGGAAGGAAGGAAGGAGAGAAAGAAATAAAGAGGGAGAGAAAGAGAGGGAGAGAGAGCAAGAGACTGTGACTGGAGGCTAAAAGATATGATGAATGGTTGCAGGAACTGGGCCTGACTAATCTAATGAAGAGAAGAACCAGGGGAGACAGGATAGCAGCCTTCCAATATTTGAGGGGCTGCCCCAGAGAGGAGGAGGGGGTCAAGCTATTTTCTAAAGCGCCTGAAGGCCAGAAAAGGAATAATGGGTGGAAACTGACCAAGGAGAGATTCAACCTGGAAATAAGGAGAAACTTTCTGACAGCGAGAAAAATCAACCCGTGGAACAGAAGTTGCCTTTGGAAGTTGTGGCAAACTGGAGGCTTTCAAGAAGAGACTGGACTGCCCTCTGTCAGAAGTGGTGTAGGGTCTCCTGCTTAGGCAGGGGGTTGGACTAGATGACCTACAAGTTCCCTTTCAACTCTGATTATCTGTATCCTTCCCTCCAGGAAGAGCGGCCCAGAAAAATCAAGCACTTCCAATATTTCAGCTGGCCTGATCATGGTGTCCCTAATGAACCAGGCGGCGTCCTCAGCTTTTTGGACCAAATCAACAAGGCTCACAGAAGTATTCCTGAGTCGGGACCAATTGTGGTGCATTGCAGGTGAGGGATATAGAATAGAATAGAATAAATGAAGAATAGAATAGATGGAATGAAATGAAGAATAATAGAACAGAATAGAATAGAATAAATGAAGAATAGAATAGAATAGAATAGAATAGAATAGAATAGAATAGAATAGAATAGAATGAAGAATAATAGAACAGAATAGAATAGAGTATAGAGTAGAATAGAATTAGAAGAGAAGAGAAGAGAAGAGAATAGAATAGAATAGATAATAGAATAGAAAATAGAATAGAGTGGAATAGAATAGAATAGAATAAATTGGGAATAGAATACAATATAATAGTTGGAAGGGACCTTTGGAGGCCTTCTAGTCCAGCCCCCTGCTTGAGCAGGAGAACCTATATACTTTTTCTGACTATAGGGTGGGTGGTGATTTGAGTTGGGCAGGGAGAGTCGTGTGCCTGTCCTTCGACCTCTTCCCTTTCTCTCCTTTTCCAGTGCTGGGATAGGCCGAACGGGCACGATCATCGTGATAGACATGCTGGTGGACACCATTCACCGACAAGGTAGACCCCCTTGCCCCTTCTCTTAATTTTGCACAGGGAGTAAGGGATCTCTTCCTCAACAACCATGGCCAGAAAAAAGGCCGTAAAGTCGGATGCGTAAGGATTGCACCACTCAAAACAAAGTTTCCAGTCCCCATCGTGGTTGCAAGTCTATATAGCCGTGATGGCAAACCTATGGCATGTGTGCCACAGGTGCAGGGAGAGCCATTTGTGCTGGCACACGAGCCGCAGGCAAACTTATCTCACTGCACTTGCCTCACAGCTGATTTTCGGCTGGTTTGAGGCTTTTTTCAAGCCTCTGAGAGGCCGAAAAAGGCCTCAAACCAGCCGAAAATCAGCTGTGAGGCCTGGTTTGAGGCCTTTTCCGGCCTCCCAGAGCTTGAAAAAAGCCTCTGCAGGCCGAATAGGCCTGTTTTACCACTTCCTGTAATACCGGAAGTGACGACATGGTCCTATTCGGCATGCAGAGGCCTTTTCAAACTCCGAGAGGCTGAAAAAGGCCTCAAACCAGGCCTCACAGCTGATTTTGGTCTGGTTTGAGGCCTTTTTCGGCCTCCCAGAGCTTGAAAAGGCCTCTTCCAGCCGAATAGGCCCATTTCATCACTTCCGGTATTACAGGAAGTGATGAAACGGGCCTGTTCGGCCTGCAGAGGCTTTTTTTCAAGCCTCTGGGAGGCCGAAAAAGGCCTCAAACCAGCCAGAAATCAACTGTGAGGCGCAATGCAGGTAAGAGGGTGGGTGGGGGGATTGCATGCGCAGAGGGTGTGGGGGGCACTCATTGCCTTCTGGGTGTTGGCACACAAGTGCCAGCGCACACACAATTTTTGGCACAGGAGCCCAAAAAGGTTAGGCACCAGGGCTATATAGTAATAATAATGAGTGTAAGCATTTAATGTGGGCAAACTGACTCTTCTACTTTAGACTGGCCTGCCTAGCAATTTGATAAACACCTTTTCTCTCCCTCTCTCTCTCTCTCCCTGTCTCTGTCTCTGTCTCTTTGTTTGTAACTCACAATAGGTTTGGATTGTGACATCGACATCCCGAAGACGATCCAGATGGTACGGAGGCAGAGGTCGGGCATGGTGCAAACAGAAGCCCAGTACAAATTTGTCTACATGGCTGTGCAACAGTTCATCGCCATGCAGCAAAAGGAGCTAGAAGAGGAACAGGTGAGGGACTGCAAACTAACCGAAGGGTAAAACAACCTGGAATGAAGGATGAACTTCCTAACAGGGAGGACAATTAACCAGTGGAACAGCTTTGCCTTCAGAAATCGCGGGGGCTCCATCACTGGAGGGTTTTAAGAAGAGTAGAGTCAGTCACTTATCTGAAATGGTTCTATAGAGTCTTCTGCTTGAGCAGAGAGCTGGACTAGAAGACCTCCAAGACCCCTTTCGGCTCATTCAGGGTGTGGGTCACAACAGATATTGTGACGCCTCCGGGGGACATTGCCAATGCCCCTTGCCCAGCGCCTGTAAACCGCTTAAGAGAGGGGTGTAAAGCAGTATATAAGTCTTAAGTGCTGTTGCTGTTGCATGTCACCTTCCTCACTTATCAGCCAGAAGGGCTCAAAACTGGGAAGCCTCCACTGGCACTTGCACAACAATTACCCAACAACTTCCAACACCAAACTTGAAAATAAGGATGTCATCATAGAGCAGAACAGAAAAGACAACAGAAAAATAGCAGAGCAACAGAAAACAGAGTTGGAAGGGACCTTGGAGGTCTTCTAGTCCAACCCCCTACTCAGGCAGGAAACTCTGATTATGAAAATTATGATATAATTTCAGACAGGTGGCTGTCCAGCCTCTTCTTAAAAACCTCCAGTGCAGAGGCGGTCTTCAGCAGGTTCTGGAGAACCGGGAGCAGAAATTTTGAGTAGTTCGGAGAACCGGCCAATCCCACCTCTGACTGGCCCCGCCAACCCCGTATCTCTTCTCTGCCTCCCATCGAGTCCCAGCTGATTGGCTGGGTCTCCTTGGGTTGCCCTGCACAGGAGAACAGAGCTGGAAAGCAGGTTAGGGGGGTGGCGAGGGAATGGGGATTTTGCAGTATAACCTTCCCCTGCCACGCCCACCAAGCCACGCCCACGGAACCGGTAGTAAACAAATTTGAATCCCGCCATTGCTTCAGTATTGAAGCGCTCACAACTTCTGGAGGCCAGCTGTTCCACTGGTTAATTGTCCTCATTGTTAGGAAGTTTTTCCTCAAGTTCAGGTTGCTTTTTTTAGTATTTATTTATTTTATATATTTTGTCAAGCGTCTGTTAGATGATTACGAATACATGAAATGCATGCGAATAAAAGGAAACAATTGGACAGGGACGGTAGGCACACTGGTGCACTTAGGAATGGGGTGAGGTCAACAGTACACAGTTTAAGGTTAAAATTTCGGGGGGGTTGGGGAAGAAACCACAGTCAGGTAATGCATTCCAGGCACTGACCACTCTGTTGCTGAAGTCGTATTTCCTACAGTCGAGTTTGGTGTGGTCTACCTTGAGTTTGTATCTATTGTGTGCTGAAGTAGTCATTGACAGGTAGGACAGTGCAATAATTTTATGTACCACACTTAGGTTGGACCAAAGGCGGCATAGTTCTAGATTGTCTTAAGCCTAAAATTTCAGGTCTGGTGGCATAAGATATTCTGTTGCAAGTAGAGGAGTGGTGGACTCTTCTCGTGAAATATCTCTGGGACACTCTCAATTGTATTAATGTTTCTCTCCTTGATGAGTTTCCATCCATTGTTTCTTGACCTGCCTTCTGGTGCTTTGGAGAATAATGTCGGAATCTGACTCGGACGAAAAAGTTGAACAGCTGACAGGGAGTGGGAGTGTGGCTCCATTGGCTGTGGAAGAAAGCTGGGGAAGAAACTGGGGAAGGGCAAAGTCCAGCTGGGCAGAGCAGGGGAGAGGTAGATCAAGGGAGAGGTAGAACAAGGGAGAGGGAGTTCAGAGGAAGACACAGGCCCACTCCCTCTTCATCCTAGGGCACGCAGGGAGGACTGGAGAAGGGAGCAACGTGGGTTGCATGGCTTACGGGGGAGGAAAGGGCCCTGATTCCCTTCATTAGTCACAGCTGGGAAGAGAGTGTATAAAAAAGGCAAACTCCATTCAGCAAGCTGTTGGGAGCAAATCATGAATTTATCTGGTATCGTCGAGGCTTATCTGTGTTCCTGGCATCTTCCCAACTGTGTGAGTTTTGCTGTGCTTTCAAGTCTGAAAGTCCTTCTCCTCCCCTGTCAAGATAATTACTTCAGTTTGGTTTGTTTGGATTTTAAGTTACAGTTTGTGTTGCTCATGTTTTGGATTTAATTTTCTGCAGTCAAAGGCTGTTCCTGGGGGAGTTTTTCTCCAGCCCGAAGGTACATTGGGGGCAAAGTTGGAGATAATAAAGGGACTCTTATTGCTTATTTGACTGTGTTGCCTTTGTGCCACGTCCCGGGTCATCACAAATAAGTTGACCACCTCTTCTTCCTGGAAGCCCCTGAGATATTGGAATGTTGCTATCATGAATAGTCATAAAACCATTGAAATTCTTCCCTGCTATTTCAGAGATGTCTACGGAAGGACACGGGTTACCTAAATATCCGATACTTGCCGATGGAAAAACCCAGAGCCAAAACTCGCCCTCCTTCACCTCGGCTCCAGATAGGGTAAGATCCTTTTTTCTCTCCTCCTCCTCCTCCTCCTCCCTCCCTCCCTCCCTCCCCCTTACCCCTACAGCAATGCCAAGATTACAAGTAGTCCTCTTCTTACGACCAAAATTGGGACTGGACGCCCCATTGCTAAGCGAGAGGGTCGTTAAGCCAGTCATGCCTGATTTTGCAACCTTTCTCGTCAGTGGTTGTTAAGGTCTTTGTTAAAGTGAAGCAGACGGACGCTAAGTGGATCATGTTTTCCACCATTGATTTTTGCTTGTTTCAAAGCTATCTGGGGAGCTCATGACCCCGATGACCCCAGGACTGGACAACCACGGGAAATCCATTCCGGTTGCCAAGCATCCAAATTTTGATTGCGGGAGCGCAGGGACACGGTGGCGGTCCTGTCTGCAAGGACCCATTTTAAGTCATTTTTTTTCAGCGCCATCATAACTTCGAACGGTCGCTAAACTCTGGCCATAAGTGGAAGACTACCTGTAATTGGAAGAATAGGTGGAGGAAATATCAGGGGTGGGATTCAGAAATCCCAGCAACCAGTTTGCTGCCCGGTTGCTGGGTGGGCGGGGTCTACGAGAACCTCCTGTTTCCGGCTTCCGGTTGGCCTCCAGAGCCCGGGGGAGGCCATTTTCACCCTCCCAAGGGTCCTTAGCCATTTGAAAGCGAACATACATTCTAACTCTTATCTTTAAAAGATTGTAATTCAAATACCCAAGTTTTTGATCGCGAATATATTTAATTGGAGAATGTGATTGATGACACCCAGCCCATGAAGGTGCTCAGTTGGAGAATCTGATTTATGACACACCCAGGGGAGTGGGGGGAAACAGGGTCAGAGGGGACTGTAAATGACCTAGGCCAGAGTTGGCTTCATACAGGGCAGGGCCAGTAGGTCGCCTCTAATAAAATCCTTTGAAGCTTTTTGAAGTTTGGCTCGAGAATCGTGATTTAATTAGGGCGGTTGCTGGAATCCTGACATTTGGTTGACTAAGCGGGTTGCCCGGTATAAGCCTCAGATTTTGGCATGGGTTCAAAAATTCCCTGCCCTGGCTCGATTTTGGGGGGGGTTGAAGGCCGGTTGCTGATTCTCCTTCCTTTTTTATTCCGCAGAGTGGCTGACGAGGAAACGACCTCCGTCTACGAAAACCTGAGTATCAAAACCGCCAAGGTCTCAGGGTACACTAACTCAGGAAGATAGTAGCTATAGAGCAGGATTGCAGGCAGGTGGCTTATAAAATAGGTAGGCAATGTGTCCCAGGTGTGTTATTTTATGTCTCCTGAGATGACAAGGCCGGTGGATCACACATCAGCAAGCGCTGCTGCACCGTTAGGACCTTCCTCTCCAGATACCCAGCCCTGTTTGAAAACTCGGTTCCTCCCAACTACTCCATTTCAGGATGATTTTTCTTGTAGACTTAAATATCACTGCGCCACATTGGGATGGGAGGAACGAAAAAAACGGGAAAACTGCACACTTTTCCGTCTTGGCTTTTATGATCCAACTCGTACAAGCTTCCAATATATTGGTTTCTAAAAACAGGGCACGCTCTAAAAGGACACAGGTTTTATTCCCATCCCAAGGTTTATATCGTTGACCTCCTCCAGGTCTGAGGCAGTTCCCATGTTTTAATTCCCACCTGGGTTTTCCATCCTGAACGCCAGTTTAAGCCTCCGTCTCGTAAGACCAATTGATGGTCTAATTCAGTG